GTGACAAATGGAAAGGCAGGTAGAAGATGAATAGAGAGAAAGATAGAAAGAGATAGCTATATAGAAAGATATATAGGTAGAGAGACAGAGACAGAGAGATAAAGAAATGGGGATAGAGACCAATAAGAAATAAAGAAATAAGACCAATAAAGAAGTAGAGAACGAGGATGAGTAATATTAAGAATAGAGAGAAGAAGGGCTCCTCTGAAAAGCTAACAAGCACTCATCTCAGCTGCCTATAGCTAGCACTTGCCCAGTTGTACCTCCAGTGCTCTGATATTCTTAGAAACAAACTTGAATTAAATTGGATATTAGATTGCATAGTTATACAAATAATTAGAGGTCGGGCAGTGCGAGGCAACAGTTGCCACACCCGTTGCCATAGGTGAAGGAGCATGTAGCCTGCATGCAATTACAACTAATTGAAATGTGGGCAAAGGTTGCTTTTGATGTTGATGTTGATGTTGATGTTGATGTTCCGACAATATTTTGATAGCTTACAATTTGCTGCAGGTTCGACTTAAAGCCACTAAATTTTGCCAGGCATGGAACGCACTTCAATCCCATCTCTTCGGCAAACAGGCATTGAGATAGCACAAGTGCACAGCCCTTCATGCAGATGGCAATTATGTAATGAAACTTTCAGAAAAACCGACTGCCCTGACTGCAGCTTTGCTGTGAGCACGTGTGTGCTCAGTAGACCACTTGGTTTTGGCCAAGCCGAACGAGTCAATGGCTGAGGGACTCTTGTTCATGAACTGATGATTGTCTGCCTGCAGAGCTTTATTTGTACATTGAATTATGCAATTTCGTAAAATGCAAATCTCCTCAAGCACCCGCCCATTCATTCAGTCATATATGGGGCATTTAACGTCGAGTGGACTGTGAGAGTGAGAGAAGAACAATCGAAGTCTTTATGTGACTGCAAAGAACAGTTGCAAGCAGATCTTTAGCTGGTATCTGCAGATAAGCCTTCTCTGAATTATCAAATTGCCGGAAAGACAAAAGTTTTCATTTAATTTTCTTGCCCATTTTTCTTTTATTGTGGGCGGCCACTTAACCTTTTCTTTTCAGCCATTTTTGGCTGTAATTTCAATTAAAATCAGCGGGCTTCGGTTTCAAGGGTCTGCCTGGAACTTTGCGTAATATGAATAGCCAACTTTTGATAGCTGCCCAGCGCAAATTGTTAATCAAATTCAAAGAGCGCTGGCTCAACTTTATTTGCCGGCGTATCGCCAAAGATTTAAATAGCAGCCGAAAAAGGTAAATGAAAATGAGCTGATTGCGCTCTTTTTCGTGCTGTTGTTGCCTCCTTTAACTTATTGCCTTTTCTGTGTCGAGTTGCTTGCTTGAGTCGAGCGATCTGTAGTGCACGCTATAAACTTATATCAAGTATACGCATGGACTGAGACGTATCAACTGTCGGGTGCAGCCAGCCATGCCTAGCAGCTTGAGTCGTAATATGCTCTTGATAATCTCGCAGAAGATTCAGAATATTTTTCAGTATATAAGTATGTGTTAAGTGTTCTATAAGGCATTCATCTTTATTATTGAAGACGGATTTCGCTGTTAACATTTGAGCTAATTTTTATTTATATGAAAGAAGCATTAGCTTAAGCTCTTAATCTGCAAATTAAATTATTGGCATCTACAAAGCCTTACTATAGAGTTAAGATTATGTTAAATTATATTATATATATTGACTAAACAGAAAGTTTTTATTTTGCAGTTATTAAACATCAGCTAAGTTCAAGCTCAGCAAGTTGGAAAAACTCCTTCTATATCTCCCAATATATTTTGCAGCCTGCAACCAAGTGAAGTACGTTTAAACCCTTCTCTCTATTCTTCTAGCATATATATCTAGCTCAAATCTAAAGAGTATCAATTCTTCGGCTTACATTTTCTACCAACTTTCTCTTTTTATAGTATTTACTTTTTGGTTGCATTGCAAAACTTTGCCGCCGCCAAAAGCAGTTGGCAGGCTGGTTCTGCTCTCTCTTTCTATCTCTCTATCCCTCTCTCTGCCTCTCTGCAGCCCTCAACTTGGAAATCGTTACAATTTTCAAGAGCATTGTGCGCATAAATTAGTTTTTAGTTTCGTTGATTTGAACCGTTCAAGGCTTTGGCATAATTCACCTTTATTTGGCTAGCTTAACTTTCATTTTTTTTCTTTTTTTTAAAGCCTTGCCAACTTTTATGAAAAAGTTTATTATTTTTAATGTAGCACTATTACTTTTTGGCAATTGCACTCAGTCTAGATAATTTTGGTAATTAGCTGAGTTTTCTATATGAAAAAGTCAGCTAAGTTCATAAAGCAGCTAAAGCCGCACTCAACGAACATCGAATTAATAAAATTATTGACAAACAAAATTTGGCAAAATCCAGAGGCGAAATTTCTATTAAAATTAATACATAAAGCAAAGGCTCAAATTGTTGTGCCGGAGTGTGTGTGTGTGCGTGTGTGTGTGTACTGCTGCTGCTGATAACAATGTCGATTTAATTACATTTTATTGACTTTGCCGTCGCCAACCGAATGCCAACTATTAAAGTTTGGCGGCCCGCGTTTGCCTGCTCGTCATTATTATAAGCTCTTATCTGACATTAGGCGCACATTATGCCCCCAGATACACACGCACACATACACACACACACACCACACACGTATATGTGCTTGCCTTTGTTTGCTGTTGTTGTTATTTCAATTACGTGGCAGCAAGCGTAAGGCGAGTGCTAACGATTTTTAAATGAAGCGCGAGCGTAGTAGATGGCTGCAATAGATATTTAAATAATTACTGCAACTAAACCATTTACAAATTATACTAATTAGCCAAGCCAACAACATTTAATGTGGTTTAATAACTAAAACAGAGGGGATTAAGACTTATAGAATAAACTAACTAAAACATTTTTTGCCTTGCATTTGCAGTTCTCGCTGAGACTGGGACAGATCGACTCAGTTTATTTTTCTGGTCAAGAATATATAGTCTATGTGGTCTGCCACGTCTCCTTCTGCAATAAACTAAATATATGTTTTATAAGTGACGCTTTTTAAAAGTTTTCAGAGTGAAGAAATTGTATTTTCAGATACCTTTTATATATTAAGTCATATGTAATAAAAATATATATTTTTAAAAAATTGGTTTGTTTTCATTAATAATTATCCAATTATTAATAAATAATTTTGATTTATATTTTCAAGTTTTATTATGTAATTATTTATTATTTATGTCAATAATAAATATTCTTTTATTATTATTTTAATTATGCTTGAATTACTATTTATTAATATAAAAAATTACTCTTTATATTTAATTTTTAATTATAAATAAATTATTTTGTTTTATATTTTTAACTTTTATTGTTTAATTATTTTTTATTTACACAAATAATAATTATTCTTTTATTATTATTATAATAATTATTCTTTAAATATCATTTATATATAAATAATTATTATTTCATTTTTATTTATTTAATTAATATTTATTTAACTATGTATGCATACAAAAAATATTTAACAATTACTAATTAAATACAAGCTTGTTGAGCATATTTTGCACTTTTGGTTCTGAATAGCCCGAAGTGCTGAAGTGCTTGAGCTGTTCTGTCTTAACATGTGAACTCATCGAGTCATGTAAATGCCTTCGAGTGAGCTTTTCATTAGCTTAATTATCTCTAAGAATATGAATGACTTAATTTCTATTGTGGTCAAAATTTCATTTCAGACTAATTGATTAATAATTTGACTTTGAAATGAGCTAAGCCCAAGGGCAATAAGCAAACACTTAAAGTGTCGAAATCCTTTTTTAAATTATTATTTCTCATTATTTTTAGAGTTTAGATTAATTACTAAATCTATAAATAAAACAAATTTCAGTATACTTCATTCCACTTTTTTATGAAGCTTCTCAGTTAAGTTTTTGCAATTTTCATGTAACAATATGTTATATGTTTCTTTGCAGTTGGCATTGACGGTTGCCATTTATAAGCATCATTCACACTCACAAACACATACAGTAACCCACACAGAAACACATTATATAATTACATTTAATTATCTGCATTGAGTTTGCGGTTTTGCGCTTTTGGCCCCACTTCCTCTCGGCTTCTCTGACTATTTTACTACTACTTAATTCGTTATGTGCCTGCCTCTTTTCTTGGCGTGTTTATTAATTTAGCTTGTCGCTGCTGCGCTCCCATTGTGCCTTGCTGTTCCCCAAGCAATTTGCCCCCAAAAAGTATGCTACGTTTTATCAGCCGCCGGAGCTGAAGCAACAGCAGCTGTGTGAATGGAACGAGATGAGTTCAGACTTTTGACAAATTTAACATGCGTGTGCGACGGAGTCACCACGAGCTTGATAGCAACTTGCGTGCTGTCTTGTAAAGGTAACCCTAGCTCAGCATGTTGCCCCAAAGATGCTCTCCTTGACACTTGAGACTGCTAAAGTTTGTTTGCCTTTGTTGTGATAATCGATTTTTTAATTGAACACTTGTGGTTTAGCTAAGAGCTATGAATCTTAGCAAACAACTTGTTATATGAGGAATTGAAATAACTTATTAAAATATTGGAATTTATACCAAATACTTAAAATAGTTTTAAAGCTGCGCCAACTTCATTCTAATGTGATTAAAAAATGATTGTTTATAGCGCAATCATGAAAATATAAACAAATAAAAAGAAAGTTTCCTTTCTTTATGGTTTTCGTTTTTTCTTTTTAGCCTTTTGAGAATTGGCATTGAATTACAAAGGCAAACAAAGATCCTTGAAGTGTGTGCACTTGTGCGTGGGTCCTGAAGCTTTCTCTTGCCCCCTTCATAAGCCATATAAATTTCCGGCAGTTTCATTTTACCGCTTCGCATAAATTTGACACGTTTTTGTTTTTGTATGTTTTGGCTAACTGTTTATTTTTTTTTTTGGGTTTCCTTTTTCTTTGGTAAACTCTGCATTTGAGTTCATGTTCAAGCAGATTTATTGTACTCTGGCTATAATAAATATTTACCTCGCTTTTGTTTCGAATTTATCTTGCGGCTCCAGTTGAACGCGTTTATAAATTTAAAAACAAGTTTATATATATGTAGATGTCATAGAAGTTTGTTTGCAAATTGTTGTTCTAAAACTAATTATGTGTTTTTTAAGCTCATTTTGTGAGTTTTGAATACTTTTTGGCCTTGCTTTGTATTATTGTGCTATTGTCATTGAACTGTTTCAACTTGAATTTAAGTACTTATTTTTTAAAAAATAATTCACAATTTACACAACTATTTTATTTGATTTTAAATATCATTTTTCACAAATTGTTTTTTATTTAAGTTTTTCGACTTTGCGCGTTTCGCATTCGCTTGGTTTTTTGGTTGTAAAAATTGGCCGAGCGACGACTTTGCACACATGCGTCGCGCTTTGTTGACAGGCAACGACTGAAGCCGTTAAAGAAGCCGCTGGCCCTAACATCATATCTCTCTGTGTGTGTGTGCGCTGTTGTTGTCACTGTTAATAATCATGATGATGCTAATGATGCTCCGCCAGGCCCACACCAAACAGCTGTTCGAGCAGGCGAGCGCGAGCGCAAGAGAGAGAGAAACACACTTCGTGCGCAGCCCGAAGCGCGCTCGTTTCGGAGTCAATTTCCAGCGCTGTTAAGGGCGAATCTAACAGCGGGCAGCTCGAAGTGGGTGGCCTGTTAGCTTAGTCTTTGTCTGTTACCGCAATGTTATTCAGTTGTGCTGTGATTGAATTTTGGGTAGTGCGTGTATTTCAATAATAATAATATTAATATTATTATAATTGCTTTTTAATGTCCGCAGCGGCAATTGGCTTTTGTTGCCTGTGATGTTTCGCCGCTGTTCGCTTTTATGTGCCTGCTGCGCATTTGTTTATAAACAAATTATGTGAATTTGTTTTGTTTGTTTGTTTGCACCTTTGTTGCTGCTGCTGTTGTTGTTGTTGTTTATGGGCGTAGCGGCATTTGCATCTTCTACGAATGGAAAGAAACGCGCAGCAATCGAAATCAATTATTGGTAATAAATCAGCTATCAATTTATGAATGTGTCAATAGATTCTTAAATACATTTTGTGACGTCAAAAGCGTACGCTGCCCACTGTATCTGTATGTGTGTGTGTTGGTGGGTGTCTCTGTCTGTGTGTTGATTTTGTAAATAATTAGCCATAAGCCATTTGGCGTTGGCTATGCGGCGTATGCTTAATATTTCAATTGGCAATACCATCATGATCGCACCCAAATCATGATAATGATGAGGGCGATGGCTAATTTTGTTGGCGCTATGGCCAAAATAAATACCGTTGTATTGAATAAATATTATTCACGGTTGCCATAAATATTCAATAAGTGTGTGCTATTCACTTTTCACGATATATATATATGCAGATATATATTAAATTTTTTAAATGATGTATTTATTTTGGTATTTGCAGTGCTACTGCTCACTCACCTTTCGGGTTGAGCCACGAAGTGCAGCTTCTGCATAAATATCTCTGCTGGCATTCGCTTATTTCTGACATTTATATGTATATGTTTATTAACGCAGTTAATTTTAAAAGCCACTTTGGCTTTTCCTCACCATAAATTTGTTATTTAAGCGCCGTAAACATTTTTAAGCGCGCAACTGTAGGCGCAAGCAAACGGCAACTGCATTAACACAGCAGGCAGCCAGTGCCAAGGACTTGCCACGCGAGCCTCGCCTTGCTTGTGGAAATATATATATATATTTGTACGGTGAAACACGCAGCTCTGCCTAGGCTATATACTTACACTCTGCTACTCTCAAAAATAAACTTTAACAAACTTTGAAATCCAATCTCTCATAGATATATGCAGGCCCGAGCTAACTTCTTGCAGGGTATTTTAGTAGTCGAGCATGCTCAGCCTTATTTTATTTACAATATACTTACAGCATAATAAACATGTAGATGCTGTTTGACTTGGCATAGGGCAGAAGCCAGACACGTTCTCGGTCTCTGTCTGCTGCCGCTGCTGCTGTCAGCAGGGAAAATCTGCAGCAGCCGGCGTCACTCGACGCCTCGAAGGCGGCGCTCGTGACGTGCGTTGGGCAAAATCTTGAGCAGCTCGCTTAATAAAAAGCAAATTAGCTGAAGCACATTAAGTATCAGCAGCTTCACGACTTCGTCACATTACCTTGAGCAAATAAATAGGTTAAACATTTCATTTTATTTTCACTCGTATAATTTGTAAATAAAATTTTACTCAAATTATATAGACTGTGAAAGGCACTCATAAAATGTTGTTGACACGACTTCAAGAGCCTCTCGAATTTTATACCCTTTCTTTGCGCTTTAATTATGCATTTCATTTTGCAGGACTCAAAAGTCAATTTTAAAGCCTCAAGTGGCACTTCCTTCCTGTCATTTGCTGGCCATTTGCAAATTTACAATGATTCCCCCTTTGGAGCCGACGTCTTTGACTGCTTTGTACAAAATGCTTGGTTCATTAATTTATTTGGAATTACGTTCAATTTTATTTTATGCATGCTTAATGGAAATTACAAGCGGCATATGCGAACGCAGAGTCGCCCCTGGCCACCACCCAAAGGCCACCTCGAGCGGTGCCTGGCACTGGACGAAACGAGGCGCTGAAATATGTTTTAAATGACTTCCGTCGTTCACTTTTTGTTTCGCTTTGATTCAGCGTTTATCGACATCAGTGGCTGGGCGTGGGAGTGGGCGTGGGCGTGCGCCTACAGGCGTGGCTTGCAGGTTGCATTAACTATGCAAATTTGCGGCCTCATTAAATGTGTTTTAATTATTATGCGAAAAATAAAATGCAACAACGTGCTAATTAACATATAATTGCAGGGCATAAACATTAAAGCACATTAAGTAAATGTTTAATGCGCTTTAATTGTTTATTTTCCAGCCGGCTGCCAATCAATTAAACAAACAAAAGGCAGCCAAAGAGAAGAAAACATAACCGAACTTGCATAATAAATGCAGATGAGGGAAGCCAAGGAGCTCAGCATTAGTCTGAAAGCAACTGCAGAGTATTCAATAGTCGGCTGACTTTTGTAAGCACTCTATTTTCTCTTCCTGTCTCCCTCCCGCTCTCCCTTTATTTCTCTTTATCTGCTTCCTTGAAAGCAACTTTCTCTCTCTATCTCTCTTACTCTCTATCTCTCTTACTCTCTATATCTCTTACTGTCTATCAATCTCTCTCTCTCTCTTCCCCTCTCTCCCTCTGTCATTCTCTAGAGATAAAAATCTATCTTAATCTCTTTCTCACTTTCTCTATACCTCTCTATCTCTTCCTCTCTCTCTCTCTCTTTCTCTCTATCTCTATCTCTCTCTCTTTCTCTCTCTATTTCTCTCTCTCTTTCTCGCTCTATCTTATCTCTTTCTCACTCTCTTTATATCTCTCTATCTCTCCCTCCCACACTCTCTCTCTATTTCTCTCTATCCTTCCTCTCTTTCTATATTTCGTTCTCTCTCTCTCTCTCTCTCTATTACTCTCTCTATCTCTCCCTCTCTCTCTCTTTCTCTCTCGTTCTCTCCTCCCCTTTATCTGTTTCTGAGCGCATTCCATAGTTGGAGTGTGAGCACTCTCACCTTTCCTCTCTTACCTCCTCTCTTTCTCTCAGCCTCTTTCCCTCTTTCTCTGCCTCTATCTCTCTCTCTCTCTCTCTGTTATATATATCCACATTAGTTCTCTGCTGAGCAAATTCCACTCGCTGCAGCGTTCGACTAGTTGTTTGCTTTATGTGCGAATCTCAGCTAGAAATCACGTAATATATTTGCATATATTTATGGCAGAAAGGGTCGACGACGAGCAGCCATAACAGTGGCTGCAGGCAAGCCGTGGTACGAGCGCTTATCAAGTGGTGTGTAAGCGGCAAATGATACCCGCACGTGTTGCGACTGGGCTTGTCCGTTGGGCCATGAAGCGTGCACGACTGACTGACGAGTTGCTTGCTGGGGACGTCAGCAGACAGACAGTTGGAGACAGTGTATTGAGGAGCATTTGTCTAGCTGTGCTCTCCAGAGACTGGCTGCAATTAAATTTAGAAAAGTTCAAGCATTTGGCGTACTAAAATGTTTATTTTTATGAACTGCAATTGAAAGGCATTGAGGCGCGCTCAAGATATTCCCCACAGCAAACTCCAGCTCTAAACTCTAACCCAATGACCCACATCTAAAAGGCACAAACTCACACTCAGAGAAAGTGTAAGAGAGAGAGAGAGAGAGAGAGAGAGTTGGCATTAACGAGTCAGAGGCAGCCAATGTACAATTAACCCAATTGCAAAGTGTTGTCAACATGCAGCAAGAAACGCGGGCGTACATTGCGTATACGTAACGTGGGCACATATGTGTGCCAAGCAGAGTTGAGGTTGGGACGTATCGTGTGTCTATGTAATTGAGTGTGTGTAACATTTCCTGCTTTTGTTAAACAATTTCCGCCAACATGCGTTTTTACCCAACCAGCCAGCCAGCCAGCCAGCCAAGCCAAGTCAAGCCAAGCCGAGCATTAAGTCTGCAGGACGACAGCTCGCTTTATTGCCATGGCTGAGCGAACTTTGACTTCTCAGCTGCTGAGCTGTTAGCAGCTCTACTACGCAATGTTCTGGCTTTTATGCTGTTAGCCATTTCTTTGAAGTTGGCGCATCATTTGCATAGCTGCACACGCTGAATGCCTCGCAGTCGAACCCCTTTTTCAATATGTGCGGGCCGCTTTGACAGCAGCTCTAATGGAGACGACGACATCGATATGTCCGACAACTTGCTGACGTTGGCTCTTGTTGACAGTTGTCGTCGTCGTCTGATGTCTGACAGGCGACTTTTCTGGCATGCCAAAGATTGACACAACACCTGCCACATTGGCCAGGTCAGCCCGACAGCGTATCGCATCACAGCTCTAAGTCCAGGTGACAGTATTTTTGATACAGCACGTGCCGAGCTCACCACGAGCGGGCTCTGTACAACCCCATGGCTGGGTACGTTTTCAACTGTTGATGCCACAATTGGCGAGCCGTTTAAATTGGCACCTGGCGGCCACTAAACGCCATGTTTCTAGTTGCTTTATTATTTTTTAATGCGTCACACGAGACTGCTAATTGCAACAGGTCGTTGCCCAAGTGCGTTGGCGTGGGGCCAATTATAAAGTTTGCGTGCTCAAGTTGAAACTTTTCGGGTTGTTCATGGCAAATTGGTATTCGTTTCTTGTACTTACCAAAGGCTTAAGTAATAAATGGCAGCTATTAGCAGCTAAGCTTGTTTCTAATTGTATAA